ACCGAAGTCAGTATGTTCTTTAATAAGTACTTCTTTTAAGATAGTTAACTTTTATTAAAATGAAAAGAAGAACTGTCAAAATTTTTCAATACAATCTATTGATAACTACACAATAACTACACAAAACGATGATGAAAAATATCAGTTTTCGTATTTAATATTGTGTATAATCCATTGTTTTCTTAGTTTGATCCAACGTAATTTTTTGGAATGAAGGTTCTCAAACTGTCATAAACGAATAATATAAATTGATATTCATACTAGAAAATAATATGCATGAAAATTCAATAGAAAAAAAACTGATGATGATTATGAACAAAATATTTCTAAACAACAGAAATCAGTAAAAAGAGAGAGAACACGATTGTAAAACTCAATGAATCACATAGAAGAATAACTTCAATTTAATATCAAAACAGAGAATATTCTTGACATAAAACAATGTTTTCATCTATTTGATAATTATTTCTACTACTTCGGACAAGAATAAATTTGAAACACTTTAAAATATTCTTAGAGAAAATTATATTCTGAATGTGATTTGTTTTATTGCTACCAATCTCTGACCTTTTTCCATTGATGAACTATTTTTATCATCACTGTGGACAAAATATTGAGCGTAATATTTAAAATTGTGTTATACTACGAAACGATAAATGAATCACGAGGTACTCAGATTAAATTAATTTTTTTATTCACTTCTGATGCATATGTACAATGCGTAACCAAGTTGCAACATAAGATTATTTATGATAAAATAAATATCACCTCGCTACTTCTTTTTCGAGCTAATAAATGTGAGCAAACTGTGTTTCATGAAATTTCATATCTAATTTTTGTTTAGAATCAATTGAAAGTTTAACTAATTTAATTGAATCTTGTTGAACAGCAATATAATAAAATATTCTCATATATTGTGCAACATGTGAATCCATTTCAGGCATTTTTGTTTTATGTTCATGTTTATGACAAGTCATTTAATATTTACTCGAAAAGATTTGCAAAACATTAAAAAATTCAATTTTAATCACAAGTTTTATGAAATTATTTTTCTAAAAGAATATTTTTATCTTTTAGACTTATAGTCGATAATTAATCAGATCATTTCTAATTCAAGTTACCATATAGTTTTTTATCGAACAGAAAAACTCGTGTACTTTATATATATTTATCTTTTTCAGTATGTATATTCTGGGTGTCTGACTTCTTTCGCACCTACACCCACACCTGTAATTCGAATGTTTTCATCAATATTTTAAGAATTAAAATGCCTAAGTAGATATATTATTAAGCATACCACCCGATGAAGTCCCGCCAGAACAGAAACAACCGTTGTGGTAGTACGGCATATAATTCTATTGGGGGGGGGGGGGGGGGGGGGGGGTGGGGGGTGGGGGGGGGGGCGGTGGGGGGGGGGGGGGGGGGGGGGGGGGGGGGGGGGGGGNATCTGTTTTTTATAAATGATCAAGTGAATATCAGCTGCTTTTTGCCATATTAAATTATATGTGTATTACATGATGATTAAATTGTTTAAACTAAATAAAGCATCGGGTGGTGAAAATAGTATTGGCTAATAGAAATCAGATCGTGGTGAAAGAATGATAGATATTTAAACAATTGTAGCATCAACAACAACAATAATACCATTAACTATAGAAGTTAAATCTTTGAAAATCTCCATGTAAACAGGACGAAATATTAGATGAAAAAGAGAAACAAAGAACACATTGACAAAATGGAATAAATTTCTATTAATTTTATTTTATTTTCAATAAAAATTTTGCTGCATCATTTGTGAGTTCAATAGCGTGATGAGATTTGTTAGTTTAGTCTGTTTTAGTGACAATGAAAAATTATTTTTATATTTTTATCTGCCTCTATCAACGTCTCATCATAGTGACTGCAGAACAATTTAATGAATGAGTCATTTTCAACAAAAAGATAAGAATATGTTCTGCCTTGTAGTTTCTTAAGGCATGAAAGTAATTATTTGCTTGTATTCTCCAAGTTTAATTGTTTTAAAAAACTATTTACAAAATGATGAGATTAAAATTGATTTTGTTTATTATTCAATTAATACCAATTATAGATTTAATCAAATCAGAAAATGTTTGCCTAGACAATTCGGTATTAACATGTTATTGTAAAGATGAAATGGAAAGTATATCCTGCATTGGAAAAAGTGGCACAGGGGACAGTTTTTTCGATTGATCACCATTGGCTTCTGTAAATCAGCGTCGGTATTTATTCACATTTGAAAATTTGACACGGTTAACATCTTTAACACTTACTAATTTTACATCAACATTTCCATTACGTGATATGAAGATTGGCTTCACATTTGTAAATGGTTTGGATGAAATTGGCGAAAATACATTTAAAGCGTTGGAGTACTATTCACACGAATCAGTCGATTTGACATTTACTTCACCGTGAAATTTTAAACTTGCTGATTATGCTTTTGGTCAAGATAAATATTTTGAAATAATTCAATATAGTACTATCCATAATATTCCATATGAATTTAATTTGAAATCGATGGATGGTTCGAAATTCTATCTAATGAATATTATGAATTCTGATCAAGTGGAGTTTATTTCAAATGGATCTTCTAGTATCGAATTTTCTGCTTCACTATCTATGGTTAATTGTTCATTGAAAAATGCTAGTCTTCTTATCGAAAGTCTTATTGAGAAAATCGCTGCTTTGGATTTCTCGTCGAATAATTTGATTTCAATACCTTCATTATGCAATTTACAAGAGATAAGAGAAATTAATTTAAAGAATAATTTATTTGAAGAAATAACAAAAAATATGTTCAAGAATATAGATAATTTATGGCGAATAGATTTGTCTAATAATCGAATAAGAAATATCGAAGCAGATGCATTTGTTAGAGTGACTTTGATTGAATTAGATTTAAATAATAATTTTATAACATCACTAGAAACATTAACAACTGATAACAAAACAATATCGTTTTTAAATCCATTGAATGAATCTCTCTCTCTCTCTCTTAGGAATATCAAATAATTTAATAAATGATCTAAGTTCATCGAAATACATGACTAATTTGGATAATCTTACATCATGCTGTAATCAAATAAAAAAATTAGATTCGAATATGTTTAGTCAAGCAAATCGACTTGAATGGATTGATTTAAGTTATAATCAAATTCAAATTATTGATTCTATGGCTTTTAATGGAACAATGGTTCTACATTTAGATTTGGCTGGAAATCCAATTTCATCGATTGAAACTAATTTTCAGGAAGTTAAAATGAAGCAAATTCATTTCTCTATACAATGTCATCAACAATTTTAAGTTTATCATTATCTAATTGTACAAATTTAATGGAAATAAATTGGTTTGTCATAGCAAAACTTGAAATATTATCTGATTCGAATCTTTCTCAATTGAATAAATCGGAAAACTTTTGGCTTTATCGAAAAAAGATATCAATTACCAAGATCCAACCGTCAATTGGGATTATCCACCAGGACCACATCTAATTCTTAACGGAATCCAATTCGTTGGCAACGATTATTGCTTAACTAAATCAATTGATCATATATTGAATAAAGCAACTTTAACTATTGATATTGATCATCCATGTAATTGCTTCATTTGGAAGTTTAAAGATTTGTTTGATTTAGAAAAAAGTCCCAGTTGTATACTTAATGATTCAGTTGTCAACGAATCGATGTGCAGATATTGATTCATTTTGCCAATTATTGACAAATGTAACAACAAGTTCGTCTTCTGTCGAATTCTCTTCATCATTGTCTCTTTATTCGAGCACACCATTAAGTTTTCCTGCAGCGACAACAGTTTCAATGATGTTGACCTATGAATCGAGTATCATCACAATAGAGGAGACGTCAGTACCACCTTATGTGACCAGTACTTTGCTTTTGTTCAAACCATCGGATCAAAATCAACGATGGAAAGCTATTGTGGCTATTATAATTCCATCCATATGCATTTTAATTTTCAGTTTAACTATTGTTTATATTTTAAAAAGAAAAAAACGAAATCAATGCGATGAACATTTGGAAATGAAACAACATTTTGCACGACATTGATCAGTAATAAAATAAAACAATAACTACAATTTGACATAGATGAATAAAAGAGACAAGCTTTATTTTTTTTTATCTTGAGGGTGTGCGTGCGGGTGTGCATTTGGATATGGGTGTATATATCTTTAAACCCACATCCACACCCTCAATCATACTTTTGGGATCTATGATAGAGACGTAACCGAGTTTAGTTGCCTTTAAACGTTTTCAAAATCAAATTTAATTATAAAAAGGACGAGCTTAGCTTATATTATGCATGAATTTATGGTAATCTTAAGTTGACAATGTAAATGCCTTCTTCAGAAAGATTTAAACCCACTATCACGCCTTTTCAACTCTAATTCAAGACACTCTATTTGTTGAACGGTTTCACTCAAATACACAATGATGTGTGTGACGATAAAAATTCACTTGGATACGTAGCAAAATTCAACGAATTTTTTCGAGAATGCTAATGATGCATATATATTTTTAGAAAAACATGATGTTTATTTAAGCAGTCAGAAGCTTTTCATTGCGGAACACGAAGCATCGGTAAATTGCCCAAAGTTGTTTGACTTGAATCATATTGAGTCAATTTAACTGTCAATTGTCCATTGAAAACTTCGATTTGGCTATAGGAGTTGAGTCGCGCGCCAACATCAAGTACATAAGTGCCTGCAGCTAGGTATACTGTTTCTGATCGCGAACATACAAAATGATGACTACTTGCCAATTGATTAAACCACCAATTTCGTTCAGAGCCGAATGCTGAACCATCATTTCTGTAAAACGTGTTTTCTCCGAGTGTGTGACTATTATAGAGAAATTCTAGCTCGAAAGCACTGCCGCTCGCATGACACCGACAAATGGCTTCGAAATTGAGTTCATATAACGTAGGATAAGCATGGTATAGTACTAGAGTGAGACCAGGTACTTTTGCATACACGCGAGACTGCGAAGTAATCTTAAAGATGTTCTGCTGTGATTAGGCCTACGACAGCTCCAGCTCACGAACCCGGTTCAAACGATCCGATGAACTGTTCGGAAAAGTTCAGTTCAGTTCAAAGAACTGTTCGAACAGTTCTTTCGAACTGAGCTGAACTGTTNAATACGAATGAGTACTTGAATGAAAAACTGATATTATTGTATGTTTCTACGACAGTAAAATAAATCCTACGATACACAATCCGTCATAATGTTTATTATTACCAGAAGCACTTCAGGAGGAAAATGGTAAAACAAGTTAATATGCATAAGTAACGAAAAATATTTATGTATCGAATAAAATAGAAGCAAACTAGTGATTTATTATTTAGAGGTTACTCATGGTGCTGTAATTATCACCAAATCTTACATCTTGAGGGTGTGGGTCTGAGTGTGGGTTTAAAGACATATGTCCCCATATCCAAATTCACATCCACACCCATCCTCAGTCACCAATGGGTGTAACAGTATCTATCCTCCCAAGTAGACAATGGAAAGAGTACGATCGGTGCGATGAGTGTGCAAACATACCAAATATAATTCTTTTTAATACGTTGTGTTGCAATTCAACCATCCTCGAGAAGCATCAAACTATGAGCGCTAGGAAATTGTTATACTCCACATCCGTTTTGATTGCTCGCCATTCATCGAAGTTTCCAGTAATAAAGGAAAAAAAGTATATCGGTAAAACAGTACACATTACTAAGCCTAGAAAAATTATAGTTTGATGAGCTGAAGTTAATTTTTGTTTCTTAAGCTTTATAGAAAAACGAATTCATGAATATCTTCATTTAGTGTTCTTACAAGTCTAGCGCATATTTGATATATATTTACCTTAATTTTATAATTTTCTGAATATTTTTGTGATAGTAGTGGAAAAATCATAAATAGGAAAGTATTGGATAGAACGTCTTGAATATCTGTTTCTCAGACCTTATAAATCTGTACCAAAGATATAATTATATATCTTTTAAAAGATCATCATATTATGTTGTAACTTAATTTCCACGATTTTTTAACATTTGTCTCTAATCTATGCTGGGTAATTTGTTACTTACAATATGTTATGCTAGTGAATTGATAAAAAACAAAAATACCATTATTTGAAACGATATCGACGAAAAAACAATCGGAATAAATACTTTGCCACTTGTCTTTTATAATATTTATCAATATTGACTTTATACGACGGATCGCATCTCAAAAATCAACTATTTATTAAACTTGAGACTTATCAGTAAGCTTCGGATTTGATAAATAAGAGATTTGTGAGATAAGGTATTAAGTCAATTTTTATTAAACATATACAAGATTCATGACACAGTATGTACTGCGATTGTATTTTCCTCGAAATCTTGAGGGTATGGGTGAGGGTGCCAAGATCGATCAAAACGGAACTCCGTTACGGTCCGTTTACTGGAATCAGTTTTACGGACCGTATCTCTATTGTAAAATAGTCGTAAGTAGTCGCATTTTCATCGTAAACGATTCAGTATTACTGTGTTCAGTAAAGACTAGACCTACGACAGCTCTCGGTTCTTTTAACCGAATCTTTTCGAAGAACTGTACCCAACACACAGTTCCTATACATGAACTGTAGTCAATACACAGTTCTCTATCGGGAACCAGATCCTCAGAACAGTTCCTGCCCGGGAACTGTGTCCACTCGAACAGTTCTTGGCCCGGAACTGTGTCAACCCGAACAGTTCTTGGTCCGGAACTGTGTCCACCCGAAGGTTGTGGATGTTCACTTCTCTACATCTAGACAGCGATAGCCAGAGCCACACTCACACCCACTCTGAAAAAAATAAAAGAGGTTTGCAGAACCCTCCGAAAAGGTTCTGTAGATTTCCAAAATGCTTCAAATGTGTTCAAAGTCTCAAAAAAAGGATAAAAATTTGTAGAAAACCTTTTGGAGGTTCTGCGTTTTACCCAATCACAGAACCATCTCTTACCGAACCTTTTTTAGGTTCTGTACAACAAAAAAAGGTTCCGTGAAAAAATATGAAACCTTGAAGGTTCTGTACAAAATGAGCAGGGTTCAGTATGGAACAATTAGGGTTACGTAAAAACGGTTGATGGATTTGTACAGAACCTTCAAGGTTTCGTATTTTCTCACGGAACCTTTTTTTGCTGTACAGAATCTAAAAAAACGGTTCAGTAAGANAACCTCCTTCATTTTTTTCAGAGCACACCCACAGCCACAGCCACAATCTCAAGAGCAGATCAGTTCCGATCAAAGAACTTGTGGGACAGTTCCAAAGATCGGAACTAATATGGAACTGTCGTAGGTCTAGTGAAGACACCTAATATGAGCCGTACATTGTGAAAATACGGGTACTTAGGGCTATTTTACAACAGAGATATGGCCGTAAAACTGATTCCAGTAAACGGACCGTGTCGTTCGACATGGGTGGATGCGCAGGCACGGCAAATCACACACCTATTTATTGAAGCTCACACTAATTTTACTAATGCATTATCTCATAACACACCCAGCTCACATCGAATTGGTGTTTGTCCTTTATGCCTAAAAGGATTGAGTAAAATCATCCGAAATTCAAATACTTTTTATCGAGTGTCTTTCGCTGTTTGTCTACTATTGTTCACATCTAGTGTAAATTTTAGCAGGTGTTTTTTATCTGATGCTAAAGTGCGTTCATGGATGATCAGAAAGTTTATAGATAGGATATCCTTTTTAATTTTGGCATAGGAATAAATATTTCCGACTAGAGAAAACGTATCTGTTAAGATCAAACTTTGGTGCTCTTTTGAATTGAGACCTAAAAATATTGTTTGATTTTCTTCGAAAGTAGTGTAGTAATCTTTAGAAAATCAGACACATTCGTTAGGACAGAAACAACTTTTTATTTCAACAAGCAATTCGAAACGAAAACTTAGCATCTTTATTTATATATCAGCTTGTTGATCAAAAGATACTCTAAAAAAATGTTCAGTCTAAAGTTTTTTTGTCGTCTTTCCATTAGGTATCTCAAGTTTTTGTTTTTCGGAAATACTCATTTTTGAAGAAACCGACTTTTCAAAAAACAAAATTCATTTAGCGTTGGCAGCAGCTTTTAATAAATGTTAGTAGAATTACTTAAGTGAAAGCTACAGCTTAGTTCAATTATCCGATTATTGTCGACAGGTATCAGAGATGTAAATCACATTCTATGAAAGTTCTTTTCCACATTGAGAGATGAAGATGCCGAGAATTTTCATTAAACATCATTTGCTATATTATTCAAGTTAATAAAATAGTTTTTGATTTTACCAAAAACAAACAAATATTCCGATTGTTGTATTTTAGTTAGAACATCATATTGACTGAATCGGTCGAAGCTCTTCCGATCCTAGTCTATCAGATGATCATCTAGATACATATGTTAAAACTTATTGCTTTTTTTTGCAAACATGCTGCAGGGTAAATTTTAGAATTCATTTCTTGGCACTTACTGAATATTTTCTAGAACATATAAGACAGATAAATACAGTATGTAGTATTGTTGAATGTATTTGCGATCGATTGTCGATAATTAGCAAAACTCCTAATACTCGTACAACAAAGACTTGTAAGATAATTATTTTAGTCTGTTTTGATGGTGCAGGTTCAATGAATACAAATACTCACACCCACAACCCCCAGGAGGAATGCATCATTGTTTTGAATTAGTCGAAACATTATTGAAGGATATTATTCGTATTGACGATCAATCCCAATAGATAGGCCAGACGGTTATTGTATATATTTGACGAATCATGTTCAATCTTCTCATTCTTTTTTCGCTTCCTTTGGACGCTAACATATATACACTTGCAAATACTGACAAAACAAAATCACTATTTCGATAAAATAATGTCTCTATCGTGTGCCGTCGAAACATGCAAATGTAAATCACGAGCAATATGTCATTGTTGCAACAAGAATATTTGTCCTGGTCATTTGAAAGAACATGTTGATTTAATAAATTCACAAATGAATCCTCTTGCTGATGAAATAAATACTCTTGATAATCAATTGTCGTTATTAAATGTTGATGAAGTTATTGGTAAATGTCGTCAAAAATTGGATAACTGGCGTCATGAATGTCATGATACAGTTGATCGTTTTTATGAAGAAAAATGTCAAGAACTTCAGCAGCGTTGTGTTGAAAAAGTGGGTGAAAAACGAAAAAAAATTCATGAATTAAAATTAAAAACCAATGAACTTATTCGAGAACAAGAAGCTACACATGATGATATTTGTTCATTGAAAGCAACTATTAATGATATCAAACGTGACGTTAATCAATATGAAGAGAATGGCATTGTAGTCGATGTCAATCCTTTAATTATTAATCAAAATTTAGTTTATATCGAACAAGGGACATCGAATGAACTTGATGTATCAACTCTTTCGTCACCTTATCGAACAATTGCTTGTTCCAAAGATAATTGGCCAGCAATGGCTAGCAACAATCATTTTTTGTTAATAGATCAATATCCAAATTTATGTTTATATGATAAAGAATTGACTCTTTTAAAAGAATACCCATGGGACTATGATAAAATTCCTGATATGTGTTGGTCATCGACATTAAACAGTTTTATTATCATAACAAACAACAATGGAGTTTTTCTCATCAATGAAAATCTAATATCACTTGAATGTATTCAAACGATCGAGAGGAAACGATGGTTGTCTTGTACATGCTCAGATTCAACTTTATTTTTGACGACGAATGAGTTGGGTTCTAATATTTTTCAATTCAATCTTTTATTGTCATTTCATTTCATGAAACAATGGGAATCTTCTCAAACTTGTAACTCCGACGAACTTATAAATAATATTGCTTATAACAATGGAACGCTGGCTTTAATAATAGAAAACATAACCAACGACAAAAAGCGCATAGAACTTCGATCTTCATCAACATTCGATCAACTCTGGTCAACCACATTCAATGCATCATATCATTATGGGCACTGGATGAATCGTGTTTGTGTACTCAAATATAAAGAATGGCTTGTAATCGATCACAAGAATTCACATCTTTTACATGTTAGTAAAGATGGACAAGTAAAAGCGAAGCGTTCATACGAACCAACAGTTAACAATGCTGTTTTATTTGGTACGAATATATTTGTCATCAAAACGGTAGATAACGTCAATAGTTACAGAATATAATAATAGAACTGTATTATTGTAAATAAAAGTAAATAGATCTATATTGTCTATTAATGATTATAATAAATATCTCGTCAAGTTTTTGCATGAAGCGTTTTTCTCTTCTGTACACGTTTTTAGGATGTGTGAATATGGGTTCACAGCAATCTTGTACCCACAAATAATTTAAAATTGCAGTCATGATCTTGAGGGTGGGGGTGTTGATTTCTCTATATCGACACCTACACCCCACACCCTTCTTTTATTTAGACTACAACATTTGATATAAAAAAACTAAAAATTAACTTGTTTAAGATAAAGTAAAACATAATGCTTTAGAAATATTAAGAAAGCTTAAGATAAAATTCAAGTAGATGCAGCTAATTTCGTCGGTTCATTCTTTCTGAGAAGGATCGTTGACTGATTGAGACGTCAAAGTAGAATCTATGATGACTGTATCGTGGATTGATTTAACTGACAAAGTAGAACTTTTAGACAATGTGTCGTTGTCAATGAGATGTGCCGAGATGATCTGCGCTGTTGCGACCAGGATCAATACTTAAAGTAGACAAATACGCTCATTTTATACATTTCTTATGTAAACTTTACCTAGTATGATGAGAATTTGTTTCATGCAATGACTGTGGAGTAACTATATGCTTATCGAACAGAAGAAAATTATGAACGATGATTATCTTGTTGCATTGTCAAATACTTTTCACTTATATAGAAAGAAATTCAAAGAGCCACCTTCAATATAAGGTTGATCAAAATATTCATTATAACATCGATATGATAATAGACACTTCTTGCCGAATATAACCTCGAAATCGAGTCCTAGAAAAAACCTTCATCTATCCATTTTTCCAAGAACCAATGCACTGCATAGTATGGAGTTAGAAGATTTGTCTTCGTCATTGGTTAACATCAATTGTATAATTATTAGATTGAGAAAGAGCTAAATGAATGCCATGGATTCGAAGTCGTAAGTTGAATAATTCTCTTAAACAATCTACGTTAACAGAAAGTTCTTATTCCAGTTTCGATTCTCTTTTTTTTTTCATTTATTTGATCCCTGATGCGTGAATTTCGATTGTTAAATAATTTCTCGTTGGGAGAAGCAGCACATCGAATTGTTGAATCATTGCTAAAAACCTCAAATAAATACTTTTGCGTTTCCGAAAAAATTGATATTAAACAACATCGTATAAAAATACTAAAAAGAAAACAAAATATTTGCTTCCATTCAATGTGTTCAATAATTAATCAGGGCGGTTTCTGCCTTTGATATAAATTAAATAAATCAATGGTCAAATCAAACGAATGAATTTATTTTCTTTTTGCAGTTTTACTAACTCGCCAAGCAAAATATGAAAGAAGAAATAAAAGACGTAAGACCATATAGCTAAGAGTGAAGTTAAAGATCCGTGTAATGATTGATATTGACTATCAATTAATAACATCGACTTATTCATCTCACAAGATTTTCTAAAAGAAAAGATAGAAATTTCGTATTTTCAATCGAGACATTGAATCAACTCAATAGATAACAGTGGGCGTGGGTGTATACATGTGGATACGTGATTGATCTACTCCCACACACCCACACCTAAACAGAACGGTAACAACATCTCAAACTTGCTGATATGATTATGTTTTATTTTAAAATAAAGATCATATTTAGTTTAATCTTGAATACGAGCGAAGTTTTCCTACTCTGTCTCACAGGTGAACTACGCCCAATATCGACCATTGAGTTATGTCAACGAACTAGATCTGCAACAAATCACGAGTTGATTTAAATTAATAGCGCTCAGATCTTTTGAAATCAGCAAGATTCTGGAAATTTCAACAACAACGCTTTTCGCTTATTTCGATAGAATTAGTCGAGCTGAAAATGTCAGACACTTATTTTTTTATCATTCAACCTATGAGATATGATATTCATTTATCTATGTTAAATGATAGCAAAAAGAAAGTCAACTGAATCTTATTTTTCACAAAGAATATTTTCTTGCTATCAAATAAAATGGGAAAATCTAGTTGCAGATATATTATCGAAGTGAAAATCTGTTGAATATGTACGATATCGTAAGACATCTATTTATTGGTAATTGTCGGACAAGTTCGACCGTCTTGGACGGCAGCTTTGTTTCTCTATTTGAACGACTATTGTGAATCATGCCGACCAACAATTCACCATCAACATAAATATATCATCAGTCTATTGAAATAAATCGATGCGCTAGAAAGTTGATCATGAATGAACGTCAATTTCATTTTCAAGATTTACCAGTCGAACTTTTTCGTCATATTTTCGAATATCTCGCTCCGCATGACCTTCTTAATACTTTCAAAAGACTCAATCGACGATTTGACATTATGCTTACTCAACAGCCAACCATTTAAGATGTTTCACGTAATGTCCTTGAAGCTTATCTAAAATTCATTCATTATCACTCGATGTCGGTTATCATCGATTTTATTGTGATCAATATGATGAATGCTTTGATTTCGGCATTGCTTTTCCAGTTCTCAACTGTTTGCCTCAATTGCATTCGCTCTATTTACGAGTTCCGAGAAATGTTACTAAATAGTAATTATAAAATGATATTTAGTGAAAGCTCTTTCAATTGATGGATGTTCAAGAGAATGACTAACTGAACTATTGAATAATGTCATCTAGCCCAATTACAGAATCTACACGTTACTTTTCTAATGTAAGTGACGGATCATCAATGGAGATGATCAACTAAATTTTTTTTAATGGTTTAGGAGTGATGCCAATATAGAAAATGAGTTGCTACTTCCAATTCCATTAAAACAAACATTCGCACCTGAACTACGTCACATCAATCTAAAAATCTTTGGAGATGTACCTTGGATTTTAACTTTTTTCGCAGATCTTCAACGATACCGTCAACTCGATCAAATGAATATATCAGATTATGAAAGATTCGCTGATTATAGTCATTTTCCACGAGTAGCAGTTTTACGACACTGGTTAACATTATCAAAATCGAAGATATTCACATTTAAACTGAACTTGGACATAATTTATGCCTTTAGTAATCGCGAAATTCGAGAAGAGATCTTTGCCGAATATCGACTAGCAACTGGCACAGAATCTGCAGCACGATATGGAAAAATAAATCTTTCCTATCCAACAATGGTGTTTTCATATCCACTGGAGACAGATGATCACGAATGGGAAGATCTTGATAGTAGTGATTCAACGCAGGGCTTCGAATGCGTTGAAGAAGTAAGTTCGATGAACGAAAATGACCGTCACATCACTATTCTCTCTTTGCTTAGATGGACATTTATGAACTGGATTATGTCAAAGATGAACGGCTTGTCCAATTAGAAGCAATACCTTGTTGGCATCATTTGAGGAAAATTAATCTCGAAGGTGATTGTCCTGACGATAAGTAAGTGTCATGCCACAGATTTATTATAGATTCATTTTTTTAAATATATTCTAGGGGCGTTGTTGGCGAAAATATTTCACATTTACTTCATATTGCTCAACGATCATCCTATTTTAGTGAACTATACATCGAATCAGATCTGGATTATGGTCGTGTTCTTTCATTGAATAAACAATTTGGAAGGTTACTTAGTCGTCAGCTTGTAATCTTACATTATACTGCTCAGGAAGCTAATAGTTCACTTGGTGATCTTGTTCGTATTATTGATAAGTTATTTAGTTATGGTCAATCATCACCACGTTTAAAACAATTAATCTTAAACATCGATGCACATCCAGATTCCTGGCTTTCTACTCGTCATTTAGTTCTTTCGTTCGAAAAAATATTCAAACGTTTTCCATCACTTACTCATTTGACTCTAAATTGTAAAGCTACGGAAGCATGTCGGAATAGTGTACAAAATTTATCGACGTTAGCTTCTGAATGGTACGTCGTCTCGTTACTTTCTCGAAAGATGCCAATGAGTTCGGTGGAATATCGACATAAACCACATTTGATTGAAATTTGATTGTAAATATTTTTTCTTTTTGAAATAAACATGAAAAATTTGTAGATTATTTAGCTTTATACATTATCTACTTTGTGTTTGACTGGTGAATGACAGCTGTGTTTCTCGCTCGGGCATGAGTGAGTTTAAACAATCTGCTATTATATTCATACCCCATACGGATTCCCACACCATCAAGAATCATTTATTCATCGAAAGATTGTAAAACAACGATGTCTATTTGTTTTTATTGATGTGAAACAATATTGCGTCGTGTGCCAATCTTTTTTCCCCAAGAGGTGGTTTTGCATTGGACGAGTGTGAGGGAGTGTCCTTGCCTGTGTGTGACATCATCATTACCTCCTCATCTATGTGTGATTATCTTTTTATCTGTGTTAGTATTACCTTCGTATGTATTTGATAACGTTGTGAGCCAACATTGCTTAAGAACATTCCTCTCAACATATAAAATGAAGGAGAAGAATGTTTGAGAGTCAGTTTGGTGTATATGTGCTTCTTCTATACCTACAAATAAATAGTCCTGTAACGATTCAAAATCGTTATAGCTACGACTGTTGTTATTCATCGACAAGATCGAGATGTTTTGGCTATGTCATTGGCCGAAGTATTAGTTTATGTTACAGCAATGAGTCTTTATTCGGCTATTATTTTCAAATTGGCATTGGCTAATACCATGGCTATTAGCAAAAGTCTTCAATAAATACAAATCGAAAACTTCATTCTATTTATTGCACAATTTCTTATCGATATTATAATACTTCAGCACCGTTTTATATCTACTTAGTTGCATCAAAAACGTTTCGTAATACATTCAAGAATACTGTTATTAGATGTTAGCGATGGAATACAAGACAATAAGAAGTATGAGCAAGTGTTATGTGATAGAAATAAATAGCTTTTATTTTAGATCTTGTCTCGTAAATGTTTGTGTTACAAAGGAAAACGAAATTGTATCGATTCAATCGGTTGGCAAAATTCAAGTCTAAACGTGATTGACTAATTAATACTAAACTCTTCTTTAAATCTGTCATATTTCACTGACAACAGGCATGAGAAATCAGTCGTTAACGTTTTTCGATGATTTCATTCAAAATTTTCCTTTCAAATATTTTCATACTCAACTGTAACCTGTCTAAGAATGCCATCATATGATTTGAAGGGAAAATGAGGAGCTTTTGGTTGTATACGCTCATCACAATGACAAAATTTTATCGTTGGAAGTTCTATATTCATTTGAATAAACATAAAAGTTTCGGATATTTACACTTCATGAAATATTGCAATACCTCTTTTATTTCTTCTAAGACGGATGAAATTGCTTTTGTTTCTATAAAAATAGTCCAGTAAGTGATGGTTCGTGTAAAATTGAATTACCGTAGTGTACTCTGAAGAAATGACAAGAAAGAAAATGAAGCGAGACTTTGAAATTACGTTGTACTTATCTAGAGAGGGAAGCTGGACATCAGAGACCACGAAAAAAAAGAAATCTTGAGAAGCATTTTGGAATATATGATGATCTCAGAAAATTCTTCTTTTATATAAGAAGTTTATTAAAAAAATGAAAGCGTTGAAAATTATTTCATTATCTCAAAAATCAATAGTTTCAACATTATGTTTCTTGCACTTTTCCTTTAAAACTTGCTTCACTTTACGGAATGAATCACTATTCATAATTTTTATGTGTGTATTTCATCATACAACTACACAAACATTGTTTTTTTCCATCCTGGCAAATTACCCTACTCACATGTTGCACACTTTTTTACCCCATGTGAGTCTATATATACTATAGTAACATAGTTAAATGAAACCATACTTTACATTCGTAGAATCTTCATCGCACAAATCATGTCTACTAAAGCTCAAGTTCATTTTCAACTATTACCTGTGGAACTTGTTCATAAAATTTTTGATTATCTCAACGCAGAAGCAATTGTTTTTTCCATGCGTCTTGTCTGTAAACAGCTTTATTCCATTGTTAATGCTTATAATAGATATGAATTAGATTTTCGTTATATTTCAAAATCTGATCTACCACTTCTGGCACGTATTATTGATCCTGACGCTATTATTTCACTTAAACTTTCAAAGACAGAAAAAGAACGATCAATTCGATCATTGCTTAAACACTTTCGCACTGATTTCACTAGACTACAATCCTTGGCTTTGTTTAACTTATACGACAGAGACTTGAAAATAATTCAAAACCGTATCATGAAATGTCCGCTTAAAACATTCTCAATATTCAATGAATTATGGAATGTTAGAAAAACTGAAGCATATATATCAAACATTCTATTGCATAAAGATCTTAGTAAAATCGAAGTCAAACTAGATTACGATAGCATCACTTTAATTGATTGGCCCATGTCGTGTGGATTAAAACATGTGATAATTAATAACTGTAGCTCAGCTACAATTTACACAATTCTTAATCACTCACCTAATCTAGGAACCCTGGTTATAACAGATAATTACTTCGAAAATTTTGAAGAAACTATCACTAATGATAAACAGTTCAATAGTGTAATATCTCTCTCATTGGCCATCAGTGCGAATATAGCGATGGAAAATATTCGGTCATTACTTTCATGTTTACCGTGTCTAGCACATCTTCGATTGATTTCCAAAACATTGTCAAGTGACGTTTCATTATTTGACGGTTCTGAATGGGAGGATCTCATCACAGCAAAGGTTACTCTATTGAAGAAGTTTGAATTCTCGTTCTTTGGTGATTTATCTGCTTATAACGGGAGTGTCACTCCAAAATCAATGATTAACTCGTTTCAAACATTATTTTGGTTACAAACCAAACAGTGGATTGTGAAATGTGAGGATGGGCCCGATAACCTCCAAAGTTGGACATTTCACATTTATTCGATACCAATCTTTATAGATGAATTTCATTATCCTAGCCCAGTGTTTCGAGTTGTACATTCTACGTTGAACACTGATGTTAGATGTGAAAAAGTCACCGTTGATACCAATCGATTAATTTTATATTTGACTAAAATGATGAGTGAAAGTACTCTAGAACTGGTAAGTACTATTGTACGTGTTCAATACTGTGATAGTGAATCATAGATTAATTGTCCGATGCATTAATTGATTTAAGATCTTTATTTGAGAAAAATTTAAAATAGAGAAAGGTTGAAGTACATGATTTTATAGAATTGTTTAGTTTGACATTGAAAGCATTAACACACAAGTCAATAATTTACTCACATGTGCACTAAGTACTGTTTCAGTTAAATCATTTTCATTCTATTTGGTTATATTGCCATGAAATTTTACAGTCTAAAAAAATCACATAGGTTTTATATCATTGTTGATAAATTTTCTAAGTTCAATAGATGATGTCATTGCAGGATTTTTTCTTCTCCTCTTTTACAACAACTCTGTATGCATACGCAGACAATTTTTCAAAGTAAACTCAACGTCTGTTTTTTTACTTTTAGAAAAAGTTAACAATGAATTATCATTTTCAAAATGTGACAGAACTTGAACTAATAATTGGTAAAATATGGCATTTTGGATTCACTCGACATCTTTCAAAAATTCTTAACTTATCGAATCTTCAAAGCCTATCGTTGGATTTTAAGTCTGAGTGTAAATTCGAGACAAGTTTGGATGCCGAGATTGACATTCTCTTCAAAAAAGCAAGTAACCTCCGCTCAATTAGCATTACTTGTAATCGTTCTCATAGAATGGCATTGTTAAGTATTAATGCTATTTGCTTGAGATTGCCTCGTCAAATCAAACATCTCGATACAGAAATCATGTACATGCAAGACGCCATAGTAATTCTAAGACAGGCTAAATATTTATCACATGTCTCTTTTCAATCGATCAATCATATGGATAGCCTTGTTGATGCGATCGAGAGAACACACTCATGGGTGAATAGAGACTGTGTATATGACTTGGTCAGCCCTCCCCATTCGTCTTGCTCGGGTATACGCCAAATATACTTTTGGCTTGGTAATAGCATCCGCAAGCAATCAAACATATCATTTAGATACAAACGTTTCAAACCAACCGATGACAGTGACTGATATTGTTTTTATTAGTTATATTCATTTTATGAATATTTTTCGTCAAATATTCTAGTAAATGAGACAAGCTTGTGGGTGTGGTGCATTGAGGAAGAGCCGATGTATAGAAACCCCAGACCCAGACCCACACCCACACCCTTTTGTCTACTAATTCGATACCTAATAGTATGCAATAAAGTTTCACGAAAACTTAAACAATTTATTTGGTACCCTTTCCCCCATGTGTAATGTCTTGAATCGAATGGATAAATAAAACTATCATATTAATTGAACTTTATTGAGCTTGAGTAAATGATTTCTACTATCTAATGACAGAAAAAAATGTATGCTAATGAAACAATAAGACTAGCAGCAAAAATACATTATAATGAAAAAACAAACTACTACGAGAATAACATAGAAAAATAAAATATGTGATGATTCATAAGCACATGACAAAGAAGAAGAAATGTAGCTAATAATTAGCGAGATATAGAAGAACAAACAAATGCAATCTACAATAATCTAAAGCTAATATAGTTATGCTATCAAGCGGCTAATTTTTGGCATGTTTTGATGCCATGATTTAGTTAAAATATTCTCTGACTTTTTCGAAGTCCATGCTTATCTGCGTGGCTTCAATAGAACTATTTTCGCCAGTACTATCATCTTCTACTATGGCTTTAAATCGAGAGAGAAACGAATTCAGAAATGAACACTCTTTCTCTAAACCTTCTTCTTCTACTTCTTCCTCATCATCTGAAGATAGTACAACTTTTCTTTTTTGAGACATTTTGGTTTCTAACGAGGCACTTGGCAAATCTTCATTAGCTGTTGTTGAAGCTGGTATGTCACTAGTGAGGTATGCGCGAAGCAAGGACTTCTTTCTGTTTGGCTTTACTGTTGATGCAGATGTATCTTCAATGTGAGTTTCTGCTTGTGAAGGAGGATTATCTTTCGGATTGCAGAAATCTCAAGGTTATCAACAGTCAATGAAATTATTTCATCACCTACAACCTACTTTTTCTTTGGTATTTTCCCGAGATGAGCGAGAGGCCGACAAGGATTCGTAAATTGGCTACGATGCAGCTTTACAATAGGTACAGCACAATCATCTACTACACTCTCTACGTCAGAAGCACTCAATTCAGACCTTAGACATTTGGTTTTTCGTTTCCGTAATGATTTGGATTTTGGTTTGGATTTACGTGGTAGATTTGGTGTTGTTGTGCCGATAGCTTTTCAATAGCTTCATCGTGCGAATCAACAATCGGTGGTGTTGTTACAATTATATCATCTTTTTGATCAAGAATTGGTGAAAAAGTCGATAATTCGAGAATATTCGAAGCCAAAATCGACTGTAAATCAACTTCCTCAATATTCATATCCGTGGCACTTGATTTTTTTCTTGTCACATTCCGTTCCATCAATAAGCGAAGTATTTACAACCTGCTTTGTTGTCTCCAAGGAATGACCTGTGGATTTTTCACCTGTAGCAGTTGATTCAAAACCTATTGTTGTTGTTGTTGTTGTTGTTGTTGTTGTTTTAGGTGCTAGAAGAAAACGAGATCCCTTTTTCTTTGTTATGCAAATTTCTTTCTACTGACTTTCATGAACTATTGTGTTAGTGTTATTAGCTTGTGTTGATTGATTATAAAGAGAGGCATAGTAAGCATAAGACATTCTCTCGTAGTATTTGAGAGGCAGAATATTCGTAACAGTTCCTTGTTTCTTGACATTTGTGTCATCCATTTGTGTGCTCTTCTCGGCAGTGTACCACATAGTAGATTGAACACTCATGTTGCTGAAAAGATCTGAATCAAAAAATGCAAAAATTAGCAATCGCTTACGTAAATACAATAAACGAGTGTCAATTAACTCCGCTGCATTCCAACAGAAATTTCTGTGAGTATAATCGACCACTAGAGTTCAAACTTCATGCAAACAAACAACAATTCTCAATAAAAGTGCTAAAAACTCAATGTTCTTTCATGGATTTGAATGCTTATTGGAAGTATTTCACTTCTGTTTCGACGTGTTCAATTCAGTAGCAGAATTCTTCATGATATTCTGAATCAATAGACTTTGCATCATGAACCTTTTATGCTTGTTATCTACTTTAGACTTGGTACTATGTAAAACCTCAGAATCTGATATAAGTTTCCTAGACTTGTGTTAATTCTCCTGCTTTTCTAAACCATTCATAGATTCCTGAACTTCTTGGTTACATACTGAAGTTTCAATATATTCCCTGAGTGTTCATTTAAAAGTACTATCAACTATGGAAATCCTATTAGTTTTCCAAGAATTTATCTGAGTTTTAATCACTACTGTAGATCTCTATTAATTTCTATAATATTTTCGAGTTCATTGATGACTAAAGATCTTTAGCAACCTGTTCCCTGAGTTTTTGCAATTCCTAACATTCAGATCTCATCATATCTCTATGGAAATGTTAAAGGTCTAGTTGGATTCAAAGAACTCCTCCGATCTCTATCAGTTTCTGGAAAATATACAGATTTCTAGGTATTATCTGTACTTTTTGGGAATATCAGAGGATTCTATGAGAACCCTTGATTTCAACAAAGTTTCTATAGATCTACAAAGACTTATCTAGGATTTCGGTAGGTTTCTTGCAAATCTGAAACAATTAGGATATATTCAATAGATGTTGCAGTAGAAGTAACTAATTACTCAAGTAGTTATTATATTATGAATTCGACAGAGGTTCAGGTTAATATGTAGGTGTCACCTCGAATAAAGAGATCCGAGAATTATATTATGAATGACTTACCTTGAGAATGCTGTTGAATAATACGAAGAAGATGATGAAGTGTTAGATGAGATAAGAATGAGTGGATGTGTTATACACTCAAATATTCAAATTAGAATTAAAGCAGAACACGACGTTTTGATCTTGCTTGAGGATCTCATCAGGCATCTCTAGAATCCCCAAAACACATTATTATATAAAACGTAAAATTTTCATATAAGGAACATAACTAAATTATAAAACAACTCCTAAAATCTTAATCAACAACAAATATTATTTTAGTAGGAGGAGTTCTCTTTTGATTACAGCCAAAACGAAATACATTACTATCGACTTCGAAAAAAAGTACCTTTAATTTGATGTTAGATCTAATATCGGGACATTTTACACGATGAGAGATTCGTCTACTTCCAAATATGTGACATGTACTAATGAACTTCGTTCTTTTTTCTTTTTTTGAATGACATATTTATATGTATCGGCCTAGGCACTCGTTATCCTTTTCTATATTCATAATATGACCATGTGGTCGTCTTCTCGATGATGTATATTTAATTTTTTCGTTCTCCCCTCCTTATGAACATACATACCCAGGTCGATCAAAACGGGATGGTTTGCGATCCGAATACGAGCAGAAAATGTTGTTAAAACGGAGTATTTACGGTAACAAACGGCATCAATACGGTTCGTTTTTGGTCCGTAACAGACCGTATTATCTGGCGCAGAAATACGGACCAATTTTCATCCGTATTGTAAATGGGCTGTATCGGACAGTTTTCCGAGAATTTACCGATAAAATACCATTAACTGTGTTGCGCTGTATTAGTAAAGAAAACGGCCGTAACCACATCGCGTTATATCCATTTACTGCTTTTCTCGTGTCGCCTCTTTTAATATATATATGAACGTAAAATATTTCCTTCTTTATTTTTGTCACTTCAGCTATCTTTTGTACATGGATTCATTAAATTTTGCACCCAAGAGAATAAAACCATGTCCAAAGCATACAAATATTTCTCATAACGTTCACAACTGAATGATACATAAAAGCACGACACGTGTAGAATTTTATCCATGAAGAATGGGTTGTGTTGTATTGTCCTTAGAAAATAAAAATAAAATATATTAGGCGCTGTTCGTGTGGATGCGAATAGATCTGTAAAACTTTGGTTTCGCAGACGTATTGATACACATCTAGGGAGCAAAATAACTGTATGAGCTGTGTGCACATTTTCAGTGCTCAATATATCTTTATATGCGTATTTTCCCAGGCAGCTAGTCAATGAAAAGCTAAAGAACATACATAGATCTGATTAAGTTCATACTAGATAACAAATACATTAGTTGCTTCCCAAACAAGGACGAGCAGATGAATGTACTGTTATTTTTCAGAACCCTATGTATTCCTATGATTCACTATATATGCGTCTTTGTGTGAGTTGACCAATAGAAAAAATAATATATAGCTAAGATTTATATATGCATATTTCATGTTGAATATAGCTATTTTAATTGAGACAACAAGACAACTGAGTACAATGATATTTTCAAATCAAATAGATGTCGTTATAATCTATACATATTTGAAGCAAGCAGTTTTAAAAGATTTTTAGTTCATTTCACTATACACGTGATAGTTTATGATGAAAATAGTCAATATCGACAAAAACAAACCCTAAATTGAGTGTGCGAAATTACTGATGATAACTTTAAAAATACGGTAAAAAATGGTCCATAGACGCGATGCTCGTTAGGGCGTCGTATATTGCACACAATATACGGTACCGAAAACGCTCCGTAATTTATCCGTAGGTATACTGAATACGGATATCGGTATACCAAAAATGACGTCTCTCCGTAAAGTTATCGTATTTTCACCATTTACTGCCGTATACAGAGCATACTGTACAACCTGGGTATGTCTATATCGACATCTTCAGTATGAAGAAATGCTTGATGACTAATTATAATTACATTTGTAACCAGGATACCCCGAACATTTGATCTTGCCATACAAGGCTTAGTCATTCATTGTTCTAATGTATTATACGCGATAAAATGTCCAAGTTGTTTTTCTTCATATAAAGTCCAATCACTACTTATAATTACTTAATGCAATTAATTAAGCATTCAGCATCATTTTGTGATCAATTCATATCAATTGTTCGAATGATTCATCAAAATCATCCTTTTTCACCAACCAAACATGAAAACATTCATTTCATCACTTAGACAGCCAACACTACTGTCTTACATATAGCATCGATAAACAAGACTATTCTTGGTTCAACCGAATTGTACAAAAATTGTTATATCGGACTCGCGTACATAGAGTTCGTTTCATATATAACGAGAAATGAGTCAATCTATTTGCTGACTAAATATGTAGAAGATGAAGCCAAATCACTTTCTTTCCTGTTTATTATACATACTATGTACTATGAACTACCCAGGTGAGTGAATCCTACGACGGATCCTATCGGATCTGATGGGATCCTATCACCCAACAGAATCCAATGGGATTCCGGGTTACGGATCGACTGTCGGTTCCGACGGAAAAAAACATTTTCTTAATTAGGGGTGAATATGCATATTTTCTCATAAGAACACTAGGGTCATTCGTTCATGTCGGATTCCGTTAATTTCCAACACTGGGTCCTATGGAATTCCTACACCATGGATCTGACTGTAGGTCCTGATCCCGGAATCCTATAGGATTTTCTTGGTTCTATTGGAATCCATGGATATTTGATATATTCACGGTTTGACCCTTGTCGGAATCCGATAGGATCCTACTCTCGGAATGACTCTCCTGGGAATGTGCATCAAATAAAAACGAGATTTGATTATTTGGTCGTTTATTTTCATCAGTGGTTATTAGGCAGAAATTTTGTTCCAATTAATAATAACAGGGTAGAAAAAGTTATTTAATTTATTCAAGTTTTACATACTTTCTAAAGCAGGTATGGATTACATGTTTTTCGAGCATACAATCCGATGGTTCAATATTACTTGAGTACCAAAAGGATGATATCAATGTATCATTTCCGTTGCTTAATACAGGAAACGCACTTGATATATCTGTTAAAGCAAGTGCACTAGATAATGAAATAAATTATGCTCTTTTAATTATTTCTAGGGTCAAGGAAGTGAATATAAAACTACACTGCAAAACATTTTCATTGATCAATATGTTCAAGAAAATGGTGTTAATTTTATGTATGTAAATACTATCTCATATTTTTGCTCTACTTAAAAATTAAACAAATTGTGTTTTAGTTACAAAGATAACGAATTACCTGATCTTCGAGATCGTTTACACAAATAGTTTTATAATGTAACATTATTAATCAAACAAAAAATGATACCTGCTCCAACTGATATAAGTACGTTTGTTTATTATAATGAAAAAGATTTAATTGTATATTTCTTTTTAGGTCGGCCATCATCAATGTCAGTTACAACCGTTGGTGCTACAGGATATTCAAGTTCTTGTATTCTTAAATCATTAACACCGTCATCTGCTAGTGATTTGTAAGTATTATGATTAGAGATATACAGGACCATGCGGAGACGGAAAGATGAGCACGGAAAGAAGAGCACAGGAAAGATGAACGAAAGGAAAGATGAACACTGGCTATTTGAGCGCGCGCGGTCAATTGTCGAGAGTGACACAAGGAAAGAGAAAAAATATTTTGTGGCTTAATTGGTATGATGAACATTACAACCAAGCATGTTGACAAAAACAAATTAGATTAGAAACTGTGTCTATCTGAGCCTAATTATCTCAATTTCAAAAAATGTATAAAATCATGTTACAAGATGTATGTGATCATCATCTATTTTCGTAAATATGTTTACTATCTCTCAAAGCGGTACCTCTAAACAACGACCACGACTCGATCTTGATGGTTTTTCTTATGTTAGGGATCGAATAACCAGCGACAAAATCTATTGGCGATGCATCAAGTACAAGTCTGATCACTGCCATGCTCGATTACATACTTGTCTAGAATTCAAGACAATTCTCAAACACCCTATCGATCATATTTGTAAATTTGATGCTACTGAAAATCAAGTACGCCAATTCTCTCAACAAGTCACTGCTCGTGCACTTAATACTCAAGAAAATCCTGATGTAATTGTAACTAATTGTTATAAAGGTGAGCGCTAATTTATGAAAATTGAGCAATATGAAAATTGTTTGTACTTTAGAGCTGTCTGGTCCATCACTCGCTCGTCTTCCAGTTCGCAACAACATCAAGCGACGAATTCGAATGCTTCGTCAAAACAACCAGATCGTCAAGGAACCCAATGACCCCCAATTTCAATCTGTTCCAACACAACTCACCCTCAATCATCGCCAGGAACAATTTCTCCAGTGCGATACTGGCCCTGGTGAGTAATTAACTTAATTAGTGAGATTAAATCACTAATTTACCATTTTTTCCCAGGCGATGATCGAATTCTTATCTTCTCAAGTCCTGAACAACTGCATGTACTACTAACTTCACAAGATTTTCTAGTTGATGGGACGTTCAAAGTAGTTCCAGAGATCTTCTACCAGCTGTTTATTATTCACGCGGTTTATCGTCAACATACTGTTCCCGTGGTTTATGCGCTGCTACGAAGAAAAGACGCGGGTACCTATACTCGTTTATTTGATGAAATTGTAAAAATTGATCCTAATTGGTTACCGGCATCGGTAATGATGGACTTTGAACAAGCGTTAGTTAGCTCTCTTAAGAAGAAATTTCGTTCTGTTTCACTTTCTGGCTGTTACTTTCATCTACGTCAAATTATTCATCGAAAATTGCAGGTAAGAAAGATATTATAATAAAAAAACAATTTATTATCGCTGTTTTTCGTTTTAGAGTCTCGGACACCAAGCTCAATGCCAAACAGATTCAACGTTCTCGCATAACATCCATAAAATTGCGGCGTTGGCTTTTCTTGATCCAAACTCTACACTCAATGGCTTCGAACCATTCTGTGAACAATTAGACGCCCAATATGATAATATCCTTGACTATTTCGAGGAAACTTATATAGGTATGCCATTAATTCATTAACAAAATTAATTCAATAAAATTATAATTTCTATGTAGGTAAATTACGATCGAATCGTGTTCGTCGAAAACCTTTGCTCGAGATCAACTTATGGAGCATGCACCACCGTACAACTCAGCTGTCCCTGACAACCAACAACTCTGCAGAAGCCTATCATCGACGTATAAACTCGGTCTTCCAATGCAGTCATCCTACGTTGTGGCTTTTCTTGCAGAGGCTCATCGACGAAGAAAACGTGCTACATGCTGATCTCGTCCAAATCAACGCTGGAGAACCACCGAAGAAAAAGAAGACAAGGGTGTGGGTGTTACTCTTCTTCTCACACCCACACATAGGGGTATGACAGTTCAGTTCTAGTTCTTTTCAAAAGAACTGTTCAGGCAGTTCACATGATCTGATCTGATCTGCCCGAACAGTTCAGATCAGATCTACAGATATGTTCAAACAGTTCTTTCGCTCATTTGATCTGAACTTAGATCTGAGAACTGTGATACCCCTACTCACACCCACTCCCACACCCGCACCCCTACTCACACCCACACCCTCGGTATATTTATCAAAATGTTATGCTCTTCAGAATCTGTATATTCAATGTCAAATGAGTCTCTGATTAATTGCTATTTCGGTTTTGGATCTTCGAAATTTTTCATGTGATTAAATGGCTCCATTGTAATATGCTGAAGACATTTAACAAAGATTTATTGAATTAAATAAATATGTTTTGCACATCTCTGTTAAGCTAAAACGAATAATTTACATTACACAACAATAACTTGTTCAAAAATTGTAGAAAATAAATAGTCCGATGTTAAATTAATGCTGATAATCATATGCAAATTGATCGAAACAATTTCAATCGTTTTAAAAAGGTTAGTATCATCTAGAGGAATTCATGAAAATAATTGATTAAATATTCAAATAGAACCATGTGCATCAATTCGCTGAATTAAAAATAGAAAAAGATCATATTAAATATCTCTTTATATATACAAAATGGTTTCTTATGCAAAATATCGCATAACACAATTGTGTAATTGCTTTTCAAATTATTAGAGAAGTAAATTTACAATAATCTTAAACTTGTATTTAGATACAATTCTTTAGAATATATAAATATGGCTAATTATAAAATAAGTTCCATTCGATGATAATTATAAAAAACTTTTCTGCTTGATTTATTCGACAAAATCTGTTGAGATCAGATCGTTGATTACTCGATTTTTACTCTTTTAATATGTATAGATTCTATGAACTTATTATATCATTCTCATTATAATCTGAAACTCGATTAATCTGTTTTAAAAAATTCATCTTTTCTTATCTAATAATTGGTCGATAAAATCCGAGGGTTTTTACCACATCTTCGAATCGATCATTTTTATATTGATAAAAGTTTTGATTAGGATGTAGAATGATTCATCTCTCTACGGAAATATTTTTTCTTCGAAAAGTTTAGTCTATTTTCTTCTTTCGTTTGTTTTAATATATATATATGTTTCAAAACAGAAGAAGTATACAACAACACATGAAAAATATTATTTTCAACATGTATAACGTTCTAAGATCAGACAATAATGACGTCCATCTATTCATTTGTATTCTTTTCATTATTATAAAATATTTTTCTCCTTGACGAAGAAATTTTCCTTAGTCTCAAAGAATTTTCTAAAATGAATCATCCATCCGCTATACTAAAACATTTTTCAGTCATTGTTGCACTTATCTATCACTACAACTAATATATATATATATATGTTAGCGGCCAATGTCGGATCACGTCCAATCTGAGATTGGCCTAGGCCAATCTAGGATCCCACATTGGACGCGTCCAATCTGGAATTCCACATTGGACTGATTGTAAATCAGGCCAATGTCGGATTGAAGAATTCAAATACGTCCAATCTCAGATTCGCCTGAAAATAGTAGGCGAATCTCAGATTGGCCTAGTCCAATGTAGAATTACAATTAACATACGGCCAATCTAAGATTCGCCTAGGCCAATCTTACATAAGAAACTAAGTATAATCTAACAAAAAAGTGTGAATCATAGTAAATGGAATTTTATTTTGAACAAAGAAACAAACTTAGTTCTAAACAAATAGCAGAGAAAGATATATAAATATGAAAGAAACTATTAATATATTTCATATTTTATCATCTAATTCTAAATTCACACAACGAACACCGTTTTTGTGGCATTTTGTGGAACAAGGTACGCTTTTTTCCCGGCATGGACATTGTTTTGTCTTACAACCACCTTTACATGAGCAAGTAACTCCATTTATACCACCACGAACAAATAATCTTGAAGCAGTTATGAAAGATATTTCTTTTAATTCATTTTTTTGTAAATTAACTAAATTTTCTGGTACAGTTGATAGTAATGCAACAGAATCCAAAGACCACCACTGGTTAATAATGCCAAATTCACATGCAACTTTAATTTTATCATCTTTTTTTTCTAAAACAACGACAGGCAAAATTTTTGGATCGGTGTTTGTTCGATCAACTTTATTGATTTTAATACCAACATATTCACCGATTAAACATTTCAAAGACAAATCTTTTATAAATTCATCATGAATTTTAATTTTCTTATTTGCATTGGACAAATATGTTTTTGTTGCTCGTTTACGAATTTCTGAATGTCGAGAAGTGGTTGAGGTTATGTCATCATCAGTTTGTTCATCAAATTGTTTCGTTTCCACATTGCTACTATTATTTGATGTATCAATTACTTGTGTTGGTTCAGGTTCTTGTAATGGTTGAGTTGCTTGTGGTGGTTCAGGTTCTTGTATTGGTTGAGTTGCTTGTGATGGTTCAGTTGATTCTGATGTACCATCTCCAGCAAGACTTTCACGAATAGAAGCTGGTAAATCTTCTTCAAATTCAATATCTAAAGATACAAAATAATTTTCATTTAGTTTGAAAAGTAAAGAAATATTGTTTACCTTGCTCCTCTATTAATTTCCATAGTTCATGATCGAGTCTAGGTTTTTGTCCAAAAACTATTTGGTATGGAGCCATATTTACACCACGGGCCAAGCTCGTATTCATAGAATATATTGCGGGAAGAAGACATGTTGTCCAACACGTTGTATTTTGATCTTCCATAAGCTTACCTAATATTTGACATAAAGTTGCATTTCCTCTCTCGACTAATCCCTGACTCTCGGGGTGTCGAGGTCTTCCGTTGATGATGATCAGTCCAGGCCAAAAATTTTTAAGATTTTTAATGACACTGGCCGTGAATTCACGGCCGTTGTCTGATTGTAAAATTTTGCAAGGTCCAAATTGATAGAATAATGATAAAAGATGATCAGCAATACGTTGAGCTTCTTTTGATATCAATGCATAACCCCAAGAATATTTCGAGTAATGATCACGACAATGAAGAATCCATTGAGAATCTTTATCAGGTCGTGTACGAAAATCAATAAGATCTATTTGAAGACGAGTTAGGAAGCCAACTGATACAATAGCTGAAGGTGTAACAGGTAATTTAAAAGACTTTCTAACTATACAAGATGTACAACATTGTAAAAAAATATCAATAACTTGAGTGGGCATCCAGTAATAGTGTTCATTCATTTCATGGCGCATTTTATCACGGGCACCATGACCAGTTTTTTTATGTATATCTTTTAAAACAACAAAATATGATTCGATAACAACAATTCGGCGACCATTCTTTACCGAACATAACATTTCAATTCCTGAAGTCATATCAATTTTAAAATGCTTCTTGCACCAAAAATGGAATTTAGCATCAATACCAATTGCTTTACCACTTTTAGGTTGTTTCAAACACTGTATTATATTTTGATAATAATCAAATGATATCATCACTTTTTCGGGATACTTTAAACTTTCTTTATACATGTTTAACTTAGAATAAAATGTTTTTTCTTCGTTTGATGTGTCATTACTTTCATTACCATCAATAACAACATCAGTATTATTAATAATCGTATCTTGTCCATCGATGATTATATTTGGTAACGTATTGGTGTTCATTATTATGTACAAAATATCAAGTTTTAAATAATTTTATTGTACAAAGTTAAAAAACAACGAATGTGAACAATTTGTGATTTGATTCTTTGTTTTTAATATAAACAACAACTTTATTCTATTTCTTTTTCCAACTCCACTTTTTATTTGACAAATTACATAGACAAACATGATGCCTCCATACTGAATATAGTATACTTAGTTTCTTATGTAAGATTGGCCTAGGCGAATCTTAGATTGACCGTATGTTAATTGTAATTCTACATTGGACTAGGCCAATCTGAGATTCGCCTACTATTTTCAGGCGAATCTGAGATTGGACGTATTTGAATTCTTCAATCCGACATTGGCCTGATTTACAATCAGTCCAATGTGGAATTCCAGATTGGACGCGTCCAATGTGGGATCCTAGATTGGCCTAGGCCAATCTCAGATTGGACGTGATCCGACATTGGCCGCCAACATATATATATGTATATATTTGTTCATCTAGATAGCTAGATGTGACGAGTTCTTGTATCTTTCTCTAACATTATTTCCATTGATAAATATTGTTTTTGTATCACTAAACTGATTTTCCATGATTCTTTTTATTTTTCAAACTTTCTGATGCATATAGAAAGTAATAGCATCGTGAATTACTTCGAGATATTACGACTACGGTATTTCTTGATAATGCTTCATGTTATAATATAGGACAGTGAAGCTATTACGACTTAAATTTATATCAGTACCTTGTCGGAAAGATGATAGAACATGGGTAAATGATTTTCATAATGGGAAAAATGATTTCAGTGCATAAATTCTAAGGAAAATGCTTTATATTACAGTGATGAAAGTATTGATATAATCGCTCTAGTTTAATGCAAGATAACAACAGAAGAATCGAATCAGTAAGTGGTGCATTGGCTAACAGGAAAAGCAATTTCAAACGATACATTCATTCTGTTGAATGGTAGCAAAGTTGGATGTATATTTCATATATAAGCGCTTGAATATAAATACACACATATATGTATGTAGTCGGTTGTCTTGTATATGGAGAGCGGAAAGAAAATTTATTTTTGACCTGTGCGACATTTTTCCGCTTGAAAAGAGCATTTATCTCACCGATCGATTCGTCGCCCACTGCTAAAAATATATCATTAACAACTATATGATGACGGAAAACGTTTTTTTTCCATTTAATTAAAATAAATTATTTTATTATTTTATATTTTTGTTTAATGCAATTATAAATATCGCTACATTTGAGATTAAACCAATACCATATATGAAATATCTGTGACTGATTTCGATACGTTGTTAAATAAAATAGTATAGCTATAAGAGTAGCTTAATATCTTTCAAGAAAATTACAAAATCAAAATATCAATCTAATGCTGAGAAAAATTCAACTTTTTTCTTACAGTGATGTTCATACATTAATGTCTGATTGAAAATGATCGCAAGCAATATTACTCAAATCAAAATGCTCAATGAAAGAAGTTAACTAAATTCATTAGGATTTTTGTCCTATTTCTATTATTTTCTTCTTCTCAAGGTCTTCAAGTAAACAAAACTATATTCACAATTCATAGTGTTATAGTTGAATACCATTTCTTGTTCCATTTCTTGATAATTTATTTTTTAATGGTGCTAATAAAGTTAATTGATGGAGAAATTTATCAAATCGTACAAAAAACAAATGATGTAAATATTGTTTCTCATGTTATTCTAAAATATAATTTAAGAACTTTTTCAAAATGTGAATCAGATGGAGCAACTTCAATTGATCTTGTAAGATTAAATCAACATTGGCAAATGTGGGATCTTTTATATGAATTTGGACATCATAAAACATTAAATGAAAATTATGAAGAATTTTCTTCAAAACAACAAAAAGATAAAATTAATGAATATTGTTTGGATGGATTTAGAATTTCCATCTTTTCATCAAGGACAAATTTTCGAATGTGTTGTTATTATTATTGATAAAGATCTTAATGAAATTCAAATTAGTCAGTTGCATTAGTAATACAAACATTTCATTTATCAATTTGAATAATTTATTAATTTTCTCAAATAAAT